ACTTCATTCCCCTGTGCTCTCTTGGCACGAGCCTTCACCGGTTTCTCCTCATCTTCATTCCTCTGTGCTCTCCTGGCACGAGCCTTCACCGGTTTCTCTTCATCTTCAACTTCATTCTCCTCTTGTGCTCTCTTGGCGCGAGCCTTCACCGGTTTCTCTTCATCTTCATTCCCCTGTGCTCTCTTGGCACGAGCCTTCACCGGTTTCTCTTCATCTTCAACTTCATTCTCCTCATCCTCTGCTCTCTTGGCACGAGCCTTCACCAGCATCTCTTCATCCTCTTCAGTCACCTCTGCTCTCCTGAGCCTGCGACGAGCCTTGACCGGCTTCTCTTCCTCCTGTCCCTCTTCTTCATCTTTCGTTTCCTCTTCGACCTCATCAGTTGTCGCACGCTTTTGAGTGACCCTCTCAACAGCTTCTTTGGCTTGACTTGCAGTCTTGCCAGCCTTAAGGTGTAGCTGGTGGCTGCGAGTCACAACCAGAGTCGTCTTCTCAGCCGAGGCATCTGGTGCATCCCCTGCTTTTGGACAAGGTGTTGGCAAAGCCTCTTCAAGAGCATGTTCAAAGGCCTGCGTGTTGACCACCATTGGGAGTGTTACAACTTCATCTATGCTCTTCGCCTTTCTCACCTTTGGTGGCGGAGGGCTGTCCAAGTCAATCAACTCACAAGAATCCTTCTCGGGCCATAGCAATTTGACGCGTTCCCTTTCTTCTTGCATCCTGAGCCAGAAAGACAAAACATCAAACAACAAAACAAAACAAATTGCCTTGGGCTTGTGAAAGCCCAAGACAAGTCCACACAGGCTTCCCAAAGCCCTTAGGCTGGCTTGCCAAAGCCCAAAACTTATGTGAACCAATGCCGCTTAGGCGCAATTTCTTAGCAGACATCCTCCGCTCGGCGTGGGCAAGCATTTGCTTCAGCTCTGGCAGAGACATCTTATCCATTTGCTGGACCTCAGAGACCTTTGGCATGACAGCAGACGATGAAGCCTGAGCAGACAATGAAGACACAGGCGGCGTAGTCTCCAATTCAGTCTCCGTCCACTCAACTTCAGGCTCATCATCCTTCACCTCCTCATCACTGTCGTCTTCCAGGTTGATGACTTTTGCTGCCGCACTCTCTCCAATGGTTGACTTCAGCTTCTCAAAGGCTTTTTGGTAGAGTTCCAGGAGCGCTCGAACTCGTTTGTCCTAAGATTGTCAACCAATCTTGCCACTAAAGCACGCGTAACACAATCCTGAGATGCAAGCAAGTCTCTCGCGGCTTTTCACACCGTTTCCATTTCCGTCTCATAAAGGAGAACATTGGCTTCATCTGGTGCGCGTCCAAATGGGCTTGGTGTTGTGCTAGTTTTGAACTGGGGTAGCCAGCCACAATGTAGAATCGCCATAGCTCATAACCTGACATCTGTCACAGGGGCAAGAAAAAAGAAGATTGCATGTAAGCATGCGCATGAGTAAACCAAGCAACTCAAAGCGTCAACTGATGGTGTTTTCGTGACTCCATGGGCAGCCATAGTATCAACAAAGACAGTCAGCACATCTGAATTGAAACTTGTATCTTCATATACCTTCTGGCGATTCCTTTTGCCAGTGCTGTCACACACCCTGACCAGCCCCTCTGCGTTTCGAGCACGACAGCGAAAGCCGCTGTCTTTCTCCAGCACAAGGTAGATGTTCTTCAGGCACTTCTCATGAGCTGCAAACTCATGTGGCGGTATCTGTGCCAAGAGATCTTCAATCTTGTGGCCCTCTGCCATGAAGCAAAACGTAAAGGACGTAAAGGAGCACCACTTGTTCAGCCCAAATGGCTGTCAAGACAAGGCTGGCCAAGACAGCATCAAATGCAATCTATGCAACAAACTTGTGCATGCTCACATTCACCATGCAGTCTCAGGCCACGACAATGGCACATAGCCACGCATGCACCAAACACTAAACCCCCTAATTTAAGCAAAATGCTGCAGGTTGCACGCACATGAAACGCCTACATAAGCACAGATGTGCTTGCTAAAGCACAGATGTGCTTGCTAAAGCACATCAAACGCGTCAAATTATAATGTGAACTACAGAATTCCCTTGTGTTTTACTGTGTGTGCATGTACTGACATACAGAATTAGCTTGTGTTTTACAGTGTGTGCATGTACTGACATACAGAATTAGCTTGTGTTTTACAATGTGCATGCATATGAACATACAGATTTACCTTGCGTTTTGTGTTTCAACTTATATATTCAACTATAGTTGAACATCATCATAATTGACAAAAATACGGTCGTTTAAGAAAAGACCATTTTTCTTGGTCGTTTCAAACATTTTTGGTCGTTTGACGAAACAACCAAAAAAAGGTGGTCGTTTCAGGTTCCAGGTATATAATATATATAATATAAAAGGGTGCCGATGGTCGACATGTGGATCTTTGACTTTTTGGACCTCAGACTGTATACTATACTTTCATTCATCAGAGGAGGATACGCGGGCTGCAAAAAGGGATCCGTAGCAAACTGTAACTGTCTGATACAAAATACTTGAGGAATATGTTGATACTATGAGGGAGAATCTTCCTCTTCGCCTTAGGATTTCTTCCATTCTTATGATACTGTAGATGTTGTTGACGGTTCCAAAGACCCTTCTCATGAACTGGACTCCAGGCTCCTCCCCCATTGCGTCACCAGCGCCGGCACCAGCGCTACCGTGAAACAAAAGAGTTGCAGCTGGCCATTGCGGCACCGATCTTCTTCATTCGAGCGCCGGTCATGGCAGCAGACACCATCGACCGCGGCTTGCAGCGTCATCGGCGCTACAAGGGCCACAGAGACGAGGAAGCCAACACGGAGCTGAAGATGTGTGAAACCGAAACGATGCATGGATGAGGACTTGGAGGATGTCCAACGACGGTCCAACGATGTTGATTTTGTTTGCAAGCTGTGTAGACGCAAGTCGTGTAAAGGCCACTAGTGTAGAGAATCTATGGCCATTTTTCCAACCACAACCTACTAGCGATCTGCAGAACTTACTGCAGGCAAATCCCTTGTACAGGCTCAGCTGGACTTAGTAAATGTATTTGATCTAGCAACGCGTTCCATGTACAGCACGCGCCGTGCCAGCAGCATGATGTCCGTGGCTGCAAGCACTGTTTGCGCAATCGTAGTTCGAGAGAGGAACAAAATGTTCTATTAAAGAGAGACCATCCGCAATTTGGCGTACACTCGGAGACTCCAGTGTTTCGAATGAATTTGGTCCCGAGTCAACCAAAAGACGTTTCACTGTGGGCTTTAGCTTCTAGTCCCAGCCAAGACGACGTGGAGGGTCCATACAAGCTCCGAAAGCTCCGATGGTTCTTGAGTTGAGGTTCAGTTTGTACTCCGTGGCCGTGACGCTCACGAACTGTAGCTGCGACACTTGTACATGCTCAGACTGTGCACGGACACATTCGACATCAGCCTGTGACACACAGCAGACCCTTTTTTGAGAGGCCATCACAGGCTGTCGTAGGCCCCATTTGATCGACGAAGAAAACACACACACACGCACATTTAATATCATTTATATAATTAGAATGACTAGTCTTGGCCAATATATTAATATGTATTAATTCATAATCACGAAAGCTAGCATCAGCTAGCTGGAGTTGCTCTTGCTTTAGCAAGTCAAGGGCTCGCAGCCTCGAGAATCATGAATCACGTGAAAACTTCACGTGTAAGGGGGGCCCCCCCCCCCCTGAAAAGTAGAGCCTACCTGTACAGGGTTCCACTCCAACAGCTGATATAGTGTGTCCATGCTTGACTGCTTCAAGGCTCAAAGAGCAAGAGGATAAGACTCTGCGCATAAAAGACACTAGCGGTCTGCACCTCTACCGTGTACGCCCTAGTCACTCTTTCAGTGGTAGCGGAGCAGTGATCCTGGAAGACCCAGGTGAGCTCCTTTCCTAGGCATAGAATTGCTTGTGGGCAAACGGCCATGGATTGGATTGACGACTGGGAAGAGCCTGATGCGGATGTGGCTTATGAGCCAGCAGCCTACGTGAATAGGCATGTGAGAAGAGAACCAGCAGCAATAGCAATGACAACACAGGTCACTACAAAGGTGCCCCCATCTTATGATGGAAAGACTTCATGGTTTTCCTATGAGGATGCCATAGACGATTGGTGTGATATCACCGAGCTGGAAGATGAGAAGAGAGGACCAGCATTGAGAAACAGATTAGAAGGAGAAGCAGCTGTATACAAGCGTGTTTTAGACAGAGATGCATTGAAGGCAAATGATCCACCAGGAGCCGGCGTAGAATATTTCAAACGAGTACTACGACCATATTTCGTGAAAGGATCAACCAATGTATTCCTGTATAGGTTCATGCAATTCGTGCGCTTCAATCGAGGATCAGCTGACATGATGAAATGGATGACAAGATTCCAGATTTTACTCCAAAGGCTTATGAGCAGTTGGATGGACATGTTAGAACCAGTCACTCAAGCACATCCACAAGTCCTAGCTCAGATGCAGGCAGATGCAGCGTTGACTGGAGTAGCACCAACGGCAGAAAGGATTCAGGAAATCATGCAGACCATCAATGGCAATATGAGAACTTTTCATCAGAATGAATTTCCTCTAGGAGAAAATCTCATTGCCTTACTCATGCTGTCACTTGCAGATTTGTCTCAGGACCAGCGAAACACTTTGACTTCTTTGATGACTCATCGTGGCAGGGTCCTGCAGCAGTATACTACAACAGAGTTGAGGACAGTGTTCATCGAGATGTTCTGCACGACAAAGACTTCAGTA